TAGACAAAGCCTCCCGGACCTGATGTAATGCACCACTGAATGCTTCAGCGCCCTGATGCTCATGATCGGAAATGCTCGGAAAATTCTCACCGTAATGTTAAGGACCAACTCTCCTGGAATTTTTGGAAATTTTGGCAGTCTTGGAAATGTTGAGAATGTCGGAAAGATAGGGATTCCCAAATTCCCAAAAAGTTCGCGCTGATGTTTTGGAAAAAACAAGTCCACTAGGTCTAGCAATTTTGAAAACTTCGAAAGTTTGGAAATCTTGAAATTAAGATAATTTTCTACCACTGTTCGGGTTTCGTTCAACAATATTTAGTATCATCTATCCTTCTATTCCTACTAAATTGAATGAGTGGAGCGTACTAAGTAAGTAAGTGTAATTACGAAATTTAAAATTCAATTCAAACTTTCTGAACGTTTTGATCTTCTAACATAAGCTCGACACAAAGATGATCACAATCGTTATTAGCACGTTTACAACCAGTGCTGCTATTGCTACTATTACTATTACTACTATTACTATTCTTACTACTATTAATACTACTACTACTACTACTACTACTACTACTACTATTACTACTATTACTACTATTACTACTATTACTACTACTACTACTACTACTATTACTACTATTAGTACTATTACTATTAGTACTATTATTACTATTATTACTATTACTATTACTAGTACTAGTACTAGTACTAGTACTAGTACTAGTACTAGTACTAGTACTGGTACTACTACTACGCCTACTCCTACTACTACTACTACTACTACTACTACTACTACTAGTAACACTATTGTTATTTTGGTATTACTACTGTTCACCAGGTTCATCAAAAAAACACCACTATTCCCACCAAGAACAGTTAAGCCTTTTTCAACTGAATGGGATAATTGAACTTAGGTACAGGTAAAAGTGTTTTCGGGCGAGAGAGATTTGGTGGTTGACACCAATGTATATATATATATGACAAATTTCAAATGTAATACTACAATTTGCCCTATGCATCCAACCACCACAAAAAAGCGTGGGCGCTCATGTTGGCCTGGGGTTAAACTGGGCCGCTCGAAAAATCGGTTTGAACGACCACGCTTAACCCTTCAAGAGTAGCCTTGCGCCGACCCCTGCCAGCCCCCCGCACATCCTCCCCCGGGGCCTCCCCCCCGCCCCCCCCTCCCCTGCCTTTAGCAAAGATAAATAAACCCTGATGCATTCAAAGTGATTACAAGAGAAGGATTCCAGATATGAGCATTTAGTTAAATAAGTATTAAAAGATGATGAATAATAACAATAATCATAATCATAATAATGATACTAATAACAAGAGTCACAGTAACAAAGTTTACATCGTTCTAATACATTCAAGAGTTTTTAAATACAACAAGAGTAGTAGAAATAAGTGTTTATGTAATAGTTCATCAAAGTATCAGTACCAAAAGAGTCAAAAGATTAGCCTATCTGAAGGCTGACCTACTACCAAAAGTGCTAGATGTCACTACAGTATCAGTAGTTTACCAGTATTTTTAGACATAACATGATCATGATATAACATCCGTAGCTATATATAGGCCGCATGAGTATATAATTATATATATATATATATGCATGAGGGCTCAAGAATTGTCTAAATGTACTACATCATTAGACATGTGTGTATATATATATATACATTTATATCTATATATATCTGTTGTCACTATGTATACTCACACAGACTGTCAGAGCTTAGATGCATGGTACATATATACACGAACACACATGCGCTTTCACGTGGTATTTCAGTTTGTATGTACACTTAGATACACATAACTATACACATGC